CTGTTGTGATGATGCTCAGGGCTCACCTCTTCCTGGAGACCTTCCAGCCTCCACCTCTTGGCCCTGAGCTAGGGTCTTCTCCAGTCACCCCACCCCGACCCTGACGACCTTGATCTCAGTGCATGGACTCTTGCTGACCCTCAATTAGAGGTGGGCAGGGAGTGTGGGTTACTCGCTTTGCATCTCTGATCCCTTGTACAGAGTCTGGCACATGGCAAATGCTCAGCAAAAGTCTGTCCAAAGAAATGAATTACTTATCCCTCTCACCCTGCAAACCCTGTGGTTTATCCTCCATTTCTTACCTCAGGTTCACACCCTGTGTATCCAGACTCTAGCATAACCAGTGCGGTTCTGCATGTCCTACCTGTCTTCCTTTCTAATCTCTCATCTCTCGATAACCCCCTCTTCCTTCTCCCTGATTCAGCCTTCATCCTATCACCCAAACTAGAAACCTGGCTCATTTGTGAACCCCCTTACTTCCCCAGCTACTGACCTTCCTACTGTTTACGCTGACCGTGTGCACATCTTTTTCTACACCTTCATTGCCTCTCTCATCTCCCAACAGCAAAGTCAACACAAACCCAGGAATTACTACGTGCTGACACTCAGCGCTGAGTGCTTTGCACACAGTAAATCCTCATAGCCACTCTATGCACAGGCGGTCACGGTTCTCCCCTCACAGATGAGGAAACTTGCACAAGGGCACACAGCTATAAGAGCAGAGCCAGGACCTGGATACAGGTCTGTTTCCAAACTCCATGATGTTAACCTCTGTGCTGTCTGAAACCTCTTTAGGCCTCTAGCTGGACCACTGTAACCACATTTGCCTCCAGCTTGGGCTTCTCAATGAATGACTCCAGACTGAGCCTGCTGCATCACACCTAAGCACATCCACATTCTAGGGTAGCCTCAGAGATCTTGCTTGGCCTCACCTCTGTCTTCTTTATCTATTGGTACCCAGCTCCCTGCCATGCCCCAAGCCCAAGCCACCCTGGAGCACTGCAGGCCCTTTTTGTGCCTCAGTGCCTTTGCACATGCGATTTCTGATACCCAAAGTCTCTTTTCTGGCAAAATCCTATTCATGCCTGAAAGTCCAACTGAAATCTCCAGTATCATCTCTGTAACATACCTAGCTGTCCAACCTACATTTTAACTTTTAGTTAACTCATCAGATTCAGGACCTAGCATAAGAGCAAGCCCTGAAGGGGGTGCAATAAATGTTGCAGAATTGATTTAAGGTGTCTGTACGAATTTGTTACGTCACAAATTTGGGAAAGGGGAAAAGCTGCTGCTTTCTGGTTGTTGGGTTTTGGCACATTTTTAACGCTGGCCCATGTCTTCATGGGAGAGAAGGTCCTGAGAAAAAAGCCCCAATTTCAGAGGGGATCTGAGGCCCCATTATTAAAAATCTGGGAGACCCAGGGCCCTGAGAGGCAAACATCTCTGCTCGTTGGTACAGAGAAGAGCGCAAAGCACAAAGGAGGCGCTCATTAAATATTTGCTGAAGCAGATCGCTTTTGCTTTCTGTAAGAGCTCCAAGCATCAACCAGGCACAACTGGAGTGATTTTGGCGGTTATCTGCAGTTTGGATAATTCATGAGTCATTTCCTGGGCACAAAGCCACTGCTCTTTCAGTGAGCCCAGAACCTCTGGGCAAGAAGAACCCACTGAAGCTGCGGCCTTAACCCCAAGGTGTGCATGCGTGCCCGGGCACACACACGTTCAAGCACCGCGCAGGACCCAGGCTGGGTGTGGGAGTCAGGGCAGCACCCGCATCTCATCCCCGCGGGGATGGCGAGGGCTTTGGCTGGGGTCGCCCATCCTTTCAGAAGCCGGGGCCTTGGGGAGCTGGGGCAGGGGCCCCGGGCCAATTTCCTGCCTCCTCGCCCCGCCCCCTCACTTTCACTTTTCCCGCCCCGCCCCGGCGCGCGCCTGCGCCGCCGTGCGCCTGCCCCGCCGTGCGCCTGCCCCGCCGTGCGCTCGCCCGCTCCGCCGTGCGCTCGCCCGCTCCCACCTGTCACCCCCATGCAGACCGAGGAGGCTCTGTCGGGGAGGCGGGGAGAGGGCTGGTGGCTGTTGCTGCCCCTCCGCTTCCAGTGCGCTCTTTGGTTGGGAGCTGTGGGGGACGGTGGAAATGCTGGGGGCGCTGGCGCCTGTGATGTCGCGTACTCTGTGACGTCCCTGCAGCGACTGTGGCGGGCAGGGAAGAGCTCTCTCCGGAGACCTCCGGCGGCTCTGCTCCTCCACAGCAGGCCCAGAGCCGGGGCAAACCAGGGGTCTGCTGGACTGGCCCGTGCACCTGTCCTGGGCACAATGGCACAAGGCCGCTGCCCTTGCCGTGTTCCCAGGACCCCTCCAAGAACCCACTGTACCTGCAGCCTTTACCCCAAGGTGTGCATGTGTGTCCCTGCACACATACACTTGTGCACAACTTCAGGGGGTGTGGAGCCAGATGAGATAAGGCGTCCTGTGTGCTGGTGGCATCCACGTTTAGACAGGCCCCTGTCCCATGACCAAGGTACCCGCTCTGAGAAAGTCATCTCTGATCAAGCACAGGCACTCAGGAGGGGGCTGAAGGGTTGGGAGTCCAGGCCCACTTTCAGTTCAGTTCCCTGGAAGCCCGCCCTCAGGGACAGGAGCAGTGGGTGGGGCAGTCTGTGTTCTGGGCATGTGGAATGCTCCACCTAGCCATGCCTGGTCAGTGCCCAGGCCTTGGCATCCTCTTCCTCCCCTTGGCCTGGGAGGGACTTCCCTGCTGCCAGCAGGTGGGGCATCTTGCCTAACTGTTCTGAATGGTGTAGAGGTGGGACTGGAAGTGCCAACTGGGTAGAGTGGTGGGAAAAGCAGCTCCACTCAAGTGTTAAAAGTGGTTCTTGCCCCACATGAGGGGCAGACTTGACAAGATTCCGCCACGAAGGCAAAAGGAGGCAGCTATTAGGATCCGAGGTTCAGCACGCAGACAGGAGAGAGTCGAGATAACCATGGCTTCAACACATTTGTCATCACCCCAAACTTTATTGCTTACAAGAGTTCTCTACAACCTGAACTCTGCAGTACCAAAGGCTGCTGCTCTTCATGTGCTGGGGGCAGGGGTCTCTCCCTGGGGAGTGGTATGGCTCCATGTAGATAGCTAGATAGAGGGCACCCTGGCAAGACATGGAGACAAGCTTCTCCCAAGGAAGACTCTCAGGGGACATCCCTTCACCCCTAGGAGCTGAGGCTAGCAGGCCCCTCACCTCCCCCAAAGATTCACAGTTGATTAATGCTACATGAGTTCTGATCAGCTCTTCCCACAAAGAGGATGAGCTGGGCAACGGGTAGGGCTCATCTTAAAGAAATCACGAGGAAGTTTAAGGGGTCACATGTATGGAGACAGGTTAAGACTTGAGCCTCTTCATCTCCTAGTCTGCTTATGTTTAAGCAGAACCACTGACCTGCCCTTCTGGAGGGCAGCCATGAAAGTGCTTTGAGGTCATCAGAGTGCAAAGTGCAGCTGGCGGTGGCCCTGTGACCAGGGCAGGGCCGGGTCAATGTGGGTGTGACGCCTAAGCTGTGTTGTGTCTCAGGAAGCTGGTGTGCAAGAAATTGAAAGCTGTGGCTCAGGTAACAGTAGCGCCTGTGTCTGCTGCTTTCTTTTGCATCTATCATGCCCCATCCTCAGATAGTTCCTGTCAGGTAGGTCTCATGTCACCCTTCACTTTTACAGGTGAGGGAACTGAGTGCCAGCTAGTCATGGGTGGTGCTGGGCCTGCAGTCGGGGCTTGGCACCTGCTGCTCTGGGGAAGACTGGTGACCAGCAGCAAAGGGGCACATGCTTGGGGACTGAGAACCATATTACATAAACTCCTTCTTTGGTCCTAGGCTGCAACTGAGTTCAGCGCAGGACCTGTGTTGCAATGCCCTGAAAAATGTGATGCATTCTCCAAGGGAGATGCCTCAGCATCAGGCACCCCTCCCTCACTGACTGTCTGAAGGGTTCCCAGATCTAAAAGGGGGTTCAATGGCCAGGCAAGGCCAGTCAAGGGGGTTAGAGGGCCCCTTCTTAACTCCAGGGTGGGCACACCTGCTGCCTAGTCCTGTACTGGATCTGGGTGTGGGTCCTTAGACACTTGACATCCTCACACCTGCCTGGAGGCGGAGGGTCTTGCCCACCCCTCCCTGACTCAGGCCGGAAGCTGCTCTCTCCCGACTGCCAGCAAGTCGTCACTGATCCAAAGGGGGTCAGGCCAGCTTATATAGACCAGGGCAGAGAAAACCCTCTCTGTTCCCCATGGGAAGAGCTGCCTGCCTTCCCCCTCCCCGTCACGTGGGTACAGGGTGTTCTCTTGGCAGGTCAGGCAGGACACAGGTGGGAAATTCTGGGAGGCATTTTGCTGGCCACCACTTTGCCCCTGGTCCCACTGCTGAGCTCCCTGAGAGCAGGCTGAGCCTGTGTCTCGGCGGCAGCATTGAGTACCGAGAAGGAAGGCTGTTTCTGGCTGAGTAGAGCCGGTGGCGGAAGGCTGGGTTAGGGCCTGTTCTCCAGCTGGCCATGCTTGACCCTCCAGCTCCAGGCGAAGCTGCCATCTGGGGCCAGGGTGCATTGCAGATCGATGCCCGAGTCTGGCACCTCCATGTCATAATGCACAGGCTGCCCGTCCTTAGTCACCAAGCTGAAGGCTGTGGCTGGGATCTGGGGCAGAACAAACCAGTGGGCCTGAGACAGTGGCCTGGGGCTTAGAAGCTACCTGGAAGTGTAAAGCTACCGGACTCCTACAGCACTGGGAGAGACCTCCCTCCAGCCAAGTGTCAGCCCTGAGGGCACTATCTGCCTTTCATTCTGGGGGACTCAGAGGATCTCACCTAGTCCAAGTGTGGGTCCTGGGGACCCTTTACTCACCACTGCCAGTCTTGCCCTGAACCCTGGGGGACACTCTAGGCCAACTATTCTCTATGGTGTCATTTCTACTTATTGAGAAGCCTTCCTCCTGGAGGGCTGGGCCAGGTGCACTGGCTTCTGGGACTCTGTCCCTAAGCGTGTACCTGCCCCCTTACCTGGCTGCTGATGCCAGTTGCGATGTCTCCCACCTTAACCCGGTGGAACTCCCGGATGTGCAGGTGTTCACCATTGAGAGACTGTATTTGGACTTTCACCCCTAGAAGGCAAACAAGGTGACCTGTCAGGAGAGCAGCTGCGGGCTCCCTAAGGAGTGGTAAGTAGAGGGAACCAGGTGGGCTGTGAGGAAGCTGCAGGGATGATATTTAGTCTGGAGTGGCCCTAAGGTTATGCACCTGCTACCTCTTCCTGGCCATTTTCTGTCAATACCAGAATTTGGCCCGCACAAAGCAAAGAGCTAAGGTTGGCTCCTATGGGGAAGTAGCCCTCCAGAGTGCACACAAAGCAGAAAGGAACTGGAAACACAGATTCTTAAATTAGACTGCAGGCAACTTAGATTGTAATGCTTCCTGAGCTGCAGCAGCATCTGGCCAGGCCATGGGGGCTTGATGCCGTGAGTCACGCTGGCCTGGGGGGAGGGGGTGGGGGCAGGGAACTGTGAGCTGATGAAACCCTTGTCCTGTCGAAATCACAACATAACCTATGCAACCAAACGTGAAAACTAAGTTCTATATATGTTGTCTTTCTCCAATTCTGACTTCAAATTCCAGAGAAGGATCCCAGAACCCTTGTTCACGGGATCCTGTTCTTTCTGTCCCCTTCAGGAGACATTCGTTGCTCAGTTTCTTGACTCTAGGCCAAGACTCTTGACTTCTGAGACTCCATCAGCAGCCTATGAGGGGAAATGATCCCTCGGTCTCGCTAGGAAAGGCTCGTGGGCAATCAGGGCCTTTGCTCTAAATAACTTAATGGCCAGGTACTTCAAGTTCTGGGCGCCAGGTGCCTTCATCTCCTTTCCCCATGGGCCAGGGAAAGGGGGACATTAATCTCTCAGGTTGCCTAGTCCCCGGTGGATCAGATGCTTGGGGGGGGGGGCTGCTGAGCAGATGGGCATTGGACTGTACCATTGAAATAGCTCGGAGTGTCGGTGGACCGTGCCCGGGCCAGCACCATGTTCCAGCTGGAGCTGCGAGCCTCCGCCTGGCTGCTCCACGAGTGCACGCCGGAGCTCAGGGTGTCCCGCGAGCTCTGAGAGGCCTTGGACGGGTTCTGAAACAAGGGTGGGCACAGACTCAGGGCCTAGGTTCAGGGATCCATCTCTGGCCTTCGTCTGCTTTGGGGTAAAGGGGCCCTGGGCTTCCCTTGGGGCAAAGAATTGCTCATGTTCTAGGCTGGCACATGGCTCAACTGTGCACTTTTGGGGCTAAGCAGGGGCTGAGGTCATGGAGGAGGATGAGGAGTATTTCTACGGGGACCAAAGCCCAAGCTTCCTTCCCCAGGACCTCCTGCCCCAGTGAGGACTCCTCCCAGAATGAAGGCGTGACCCCTGTCACCCTCCCTTTCTTTACCCACTTCTTGCACACAGCCCATTCACCAGCTGGACACAAAGCCACCTGCTCTGTGCCCTGGCCCCTGGTCCATTGCTGACTTACCTTTTCACTGTCATCTGACAGAGAGAGGCTGTCGACACTGAGGCATGAGAGAATTTGCTCTTGCTCCTCTAGAGAAAATGGCTGGGATAGGCTGTTCAGAAATAATTCTGCAGAGCAAAGCAGAAGACAGCTGTGAAAGACTGGGAGGGGTCCGGCTGTGTTGTCAGAGTTCTTTCTGCACAGACTGCAGGAGCTGACCTCTGGGGAAGGGGCTGGAAGAGAGCCCCTGCTGGCTGGAAAGAGGAGGAAGCCCAGGCTGTGGTGGGGCCCAGGCCCAAGCCCAGGGACCCAGAAGCTGCAGCGCCCATACCTATTTCCAGTTGCTGCAGTTCCTGCTCCGGAAAGGTTGCCTTCCGCTCTGGTGAGCTGGGGTTTTTGGCAGGGGCTGGGTCCAGGGAGGACAGAGGCAAGGGTTCCCACGTCCCAGACTCCTCCTTGCCCCAGTTCAGGCTTGGACACTTGTTCCGCTCTGGGGGGTCTGGGGGTAGAGGAGGCTGGAGCTTGGGGGCCCCGCCTGTTGTGTCCTCAGCTGGTTGGGGCCCCAGGGCCCCTGGTGAGAGCTCCCTTGGCTGGACACTCAGGGCCTGGTGAGAGTGGGCTGGGCTTGACGGCGGATGTCTTGGCTCTTTATACTCTCCCCTCCAAGGGCTCTTCAGACCTCCCACTACAAAACAGAGAGCACACGTGGTGAGGTGGACATGGGCCAGCACAGGCTAGATCAGGCCAGGTGGCCTTTCCTGAGCAGTGAGGTCCCCACTAAGGGACACAATTTAGGAGGGCAGAATGTGGTCTCCAGAGGAGGCCTCTTCCATCAGATGGCCTCCTATCATGGGAACAGGACAGTAGTTCCGCTGTTTCTTCCATTTCCCTCCTAGGTAACAGCAGCAAATTAAAAAATGGCAGAACCAGCTCCAGAGGACTTTTAATATTAATAGTAAAGAGGAGATTTAAAAACCGCTCTGGGGTAAAAGCAGCTCAGAGTTCTCATCTGAACTGGCCTCTCTGAGCCTCTGCATCTTTTACCCCTACCTCCCGAGTCAGGGTTTCCTGAGGGCACCATTTCTCTAAAGTTGGGGGTAGTTCAGCCCCAGGCCCATCCTTGTAACTTCTGTCTATGGCGTCAGTGGCTATGCAAGGTCTCTCTCCTGTTTTATTTATTCCCTTTTCATTCCCACAAACACTGCCTTTCCCCTGCCTACCCCCAGGTGACATTCTGTTATGTTCCATGTGTCACTTCGGGTTTGATCTCATTCTTGCAAAGGGCGTGTTGTTTTTATTTATCAATTTTTTTAATTTACAAAAAAGGCATTGTGTTGTATCCCTCACTCCGGTCCTCTTTTACCCAGCACTATGGTTTTAAGATCCAGCCGGGTTGCTCTGTGAACACGGAGTTGCTTTAACTGCTGCATGGTGCTCCGTGGGGCAACCCCTGCCCTGACCTCTCCACTCTCCCTGGGTGGGACACCCAACTGCACTCAGCTCCCCTCCCACAAATGATGCTTCAGTGCATGTCCTCAGCATGTCCCCTTATGGATCTGTGGGAATTCCTTTGCTCGTGCGCCGAGTGGAGTGTGGGTCACAGGTCTGCAGATGTCTACCCGAGTGCTGTCAGGTGCTCTCCCGCAGAGCCTAAGTAGGGGCTCCTGCCCCACATCCACACCAATACTCGGCACTACCAACTTTTGGGTTTTTCCCACTCAAATGGCTAACAAGGGATAGATGGCTTTGTTTCACATACACTAATTGCTAATGAGTTCGAGCCCTGCTTTATATGCTGTAACCCTGTTCCCCCATCTCTTGAGCACAGCCTCTGCACTAAGGCACAGTACTAAGTACCTTTAGTCACATCACCTCAGTCTTCCCAACAAGCCTGAAATTGGCGCCATCCCTATGCTCTCCGTGGGGAAACCAAGGTTCCGGCAGGTCGAGTACCTTGCTCTGGACCATGACACTGCCCACTGCCTCTCCTGCCCCTACAGTCAGGGCAGGGCTCTTACCGTGCTGCAGCGCCAGGCTGACCTTCCCCTCCAGCTCCACTGCGGATGCTCGGTGGACAGGCTCTTTCCTTAGCCCCTCCTCTATGGCCTGGGCTGTGAGAGGGGTGCAGGATGGGGGGATCTCCCTCACAGGTGGAGGCTCGCTGGCAATCTGGGGGTCAAAGGCAACATGTGAGGCCTGCCTCCCCCTCACTTCCCAGCACCCAGCTTTCTGTTCTTGCTTCTCTCCACTCTTCCCACCCTGCTGCGCTGGGGTCGGTCATAAAGACAAGTGGCCTAGGTTAGCGTGAGGGCTGAGACTTTTCCAAGAAAAGAGAAAAATGGGGCCAGGTAGGACAGGCCAGAGCCAGGCAGCAAGATGCCCTTGACCTTCAGGCCTAGCCTATCAGGAGCTGCAGGCAAGGGTGGCTCAGGGTGTGGACAGAGAAGAGCCCTGCCCTTCTAGGAACTCACGGCGAACACTCACCTAGGATCTCCCCTTGGACGTTCAGATTTGGAGGACAAATATTTTAGCCAGGATCCACCATGTATGGTGAGGTTTCTTCCTAGTCCCTGCTGCCATCTACCACTGAAGTGCAGCCAAAATGAGAGGCCACCTCAGGCCTGCAGCCCGGGCCCCGTGGCCCTGCTGGCTTTCCCTCCTCTGTCTCAGGTGCTGTTACTGACCTTGAGGCAGAGCGGCCCTCGGAAGTACTGGGTCCAGGGGTGGCAGCCATTGAGCATGTGCAGCATCATGCAACAGCTGCTCCAGACGTCCACCTTGGCATCACAGGGCTTACCCATCACCACCTCTGGAGCCATGTGAGTCTCTGTGCCAGGGATGTAGTCCCCTGAGGAGGCGAGGGAGACAGAAAAGTCACCTGTGACCTCTGATGGGCAAGAGCCTCGGCAATGACTACCTCAGTCCATTCCAGAGATGCCTTGAATTTTTCTCTGTTCAAGTGCTTCAAGCAGAGAAAGCCTCCATATTAAAGCTGCTGGGGAGGAGCTAAGTCAAGACTTTTGCTGGGGACTGGTACAAAGAATACACCATCTAAATATGGACTATGTCCTTTGGACCAAGCCCTAAAAGTGCTTTTCAAAATGAGGAGGGGCCTGGACATTGAAAATTAGGTTGTAGAAGACTAATTAATGGTATCATGTTTCTGAAATTTTAGGAAGTGAAAAAAAAGTAATAGAAAACTTATGTGCATAAAAGACTAGAAGGATTGATACCAGATGTAAACAGTATTTTTTTCTGATGATTTGTAGTTTTTATTTTTGCTTAGTTCTACTTTCTGCAAAAGATATTAGAAAAGAAATTATTATTATTATTATTATTATTTTTTTAAAGATTTTTATTGGGGAATTGGGGGATGGGAACAGTGCTGGGGAATTGGGGGAAGGGGAACAGACAAGTTGCTGTCCTTTTGTTCTTCAATCTAGTTGTGGAGGACGTTGCTTCACTGGCCCAAGTTGGCACCATCATTGCGCTCTTCCCAGGCGAGGCAGATCAGTCGCTGGCTTCTGGACGGCTGCTCATTGTGGCTGCTGGCCGCTCACGCTGGCTGCTGGCTACATACGGTAACCGCCCATGGCAACCCACTGCCACAGGGGCTGCAGCCTACGCTGTCACTGGGGACTCACGGCAGCCCAGCTCCAGGTAGAGCTGTTGTTCAGCATCTTAGCTGTGGAGGGCAGTGTCACTGGCCCTCATATGTGGGATCCGAACCGGGCCCTCTGGCGTCCCAAGCTAGTTCTTAACCATCGCGCCACTCGGCTGGCCCAAGAAATTATTTTTGTAATAAGAAAAAACACGAAAGTTATTTTAAAGTGGAAGGAGGGTGTCCATGTTCAATTTACATCTTCAGAATTACCAACACAATCCTTTAATAACAAGTAATCACTTCTAAAAGATTGTTTTTCCTTTGGTCAAAATAAAATCACTTTGGGCCCGCCAAGTGGTGTGTTGGTTAAGAGTTGGCTTGGGACGCCAGCTCTGAGCAGCACGGCAGGGGTTCGGATCTCACACTGAGGGCCAGTGACGCTGTGCCCTCTACAACTAAGATGGTGAACAACAGCTAGACCTGGAGCTGGGCTGCCATGAGCCGCGGTGAGCAGCCGTCCAATGGCCAGTGAGCAACTGCCTCAGCCGGGAAGAGCACAATGATAATACCAACATGGGCCAGTGAAGCTACGTCCTCCACAACTAGACTGAAGAGCAAAACGACAGCAACTTGTCTGTTCCCCTTCCCCAATTCTCCAATGCTGTTCCCCTCCCCCAATTCCCCAATAAAATGTTAAAAAAAAAATAAAAAAAAAATAAAATAAAATCACTTTATACTTAATGCTATAAATGAAAAAAGCAGGGCACAAAATTGTATTACAGTGGCCTTAATTATGTACAGGAAAAAAAAAATTACCTGGAAGAAATTATTTAAAATACTCATGATTATCTCCCTGGGCAAGAGGAATGGTGAGAATTCTTTTTTTCCTTCCCTTCTGTACCACTTAACTGTGTAGTTGCCAAGTATTTTACAATGGGTGTGAATTATTTTAATAATCAGAAAAATATCAGTTAAAACCAGATATTTTTCCAGCTACAGAGCCCAGGCCTTTGTGCTTCCAGAAATACAAGGTGTGGGAAGACTGAGGTCACAGGCTGGGAGCACAGATCCCCCAAAAAGGCTGGACATGAGGGACGAACCCATGGGCACTCTGAGGTCTGGGGCCTAGGGCAAAGCACACGGCCTTTCTGTTCCCTTCTCTGTGTATGGGGAACATTAGAAATGAGCGCCTGACATGCATTATTACATTTAAGCCTAACAAAAGCCTCACAGTAATCTAGGGTTGTTGGGCTGAAGTATATTGGTGGACACAAAGTGCTCACGTCTCTGATTGCCACTATGGAATGTACAGGAAGAGGCACATGGCTAATGCTTAGTAAAGGCTACTGGCTATTATCATAGTGGGGAGGGGCAGTGTGTCGGGGGGCTTACCTGTGAGCAAGGACTTCCCTAGGCCATCAGGTCGAAGGCACACAGCATGGCCAAAGTCGCAGAGGGCTGCACGGCTCCCGTCATTGGACAGGAGCACATTGTCAGCTGCCACGCCGCCCCAGGGAAGAAGAGGAATAGGTGAGTCATGTCCGGCCCTGGCCCAACCTGGACCTCCAGTGAGGCAATTTTCTGGCTGACCCTATGTGGCAACTGCTGCTTCTGATTAGTTTCATTAGTCATGTAGGAAGGGAAGAGGGTATCAGTTCAGGGTCGTGGCAGGCAGCAGGCAGGATCTCCAAGAGTTCACTCCTGGAGACGCTGCCACTCAGCTCTGCTGCCCCCACCCTTCCCCAGTGGTCACCAACGTGTAGGAGCTTTATCTGCAGTTCCCTGTGGGCACCACCTACTGGAGCTACAGTGCCAGGCTGAGGGCTTGGGGGAACACACTTCCCTTTCCACTGGCACAGCTCTGTCAACCTGACTCAAGCCCTGCCACTAGAGATTACTTGGGAGGCCCAGAAGATTGGGGAGGACGTCAGGCAGGATGGGGCAAGGAAGGTGCCCGCTGGGGACCAGGGTTATGGGGGCCTGAGCCTCACCTTTGACATCACCGTGCAGAATCCTGCGGGTATGGAGGTATTCCAGCCCTTCCAGGGCCTGGCCCAGGTAGTAAAGGGCCCGGTCCTCCGGCAGACAGCCCTTCTGCTTTATGAGCTGGCCCAGTGAGCCACCTAGGAGACCAACGGTCAGTCTTTACAGGGAGCTTTTCCAGGCCTCCAAACCAAGGGCAAGGGTCTTTGAAGGGCAGCTGGTGGAAAAGCAGGCCTTTCCTGCTGATGTCACAGGGTCAAGAGGTTAAAAATAGATTGACTGACTGGGGATCAAGGTCAACCTGGGCAAGACTTGGGGGAACGCTTGGCTCTGAATTTTGAGGGGGAAAGAGTGGGGACCTGGCTTGGTTCCTTACCTTCCAGCAGTTCCATGAAGATGTTGACCCAAGGACCTTCCTTCACTGCTCCATACAAAGGGACGATTCTGGGCGAGGTCAATCCTGCACATGCTACCAACTCCTCTGCCCGAAACACATCGACTCGCACCTGGAAGGGCCCAGAGGTGGCAGCAAGTCAGCATGAGGGACCAGAGCTGGCTCCCTGTCATCCTGTCAGGACCCTAGGTATTCCCACAACAGAGACTGCTGATGTTTTCAGTGATGATGCTGAGGGCAGGCAGGGCCCTGGTGGGCCTACTAGATCCTCAGAGACTAAACTGTGAACCTCTGGGATTGGGGGCAACTCCCAGGACTTGATTAAAGTTCTGCAATGCTGATATGTGTGAAAACACTATAGTCACACAAAACTGCAGTCCTTATCCAGACTCCTGGCATGCTGCCCACCCTCAAATCTGCCAAACACAGAACTTTTTTGACCCCAGCACAAATGTCTGGCCAATTTCTAGGACACAAGACTTTTCGTTTATCAGTGTCCACTCTTTAGATACTGGGTTTCTGACTTATCAGAAGCCAGAGTGATGTCACCAAGATTCTGACTGTGAATGCCCCTGGATTCTCAGCACCCTTCTCAACTCTTAGGATTATTTGTCTTTTTCCTCCGAGGACTAAAACGTTCACGTAGATAGGACAATGTTTGTTTATTGTTTGCAGCTGTTTTCCTAGCACAGGAGTGGCTTCTGGGAAAGGGTTTGGCCAAGGCCCATCCCGCCGTGGACTGGCAGACCTGGTACCACACACTCCTTTCTGCAGGGACCAGCATGGCATTGCAGAAGAAACACACCTTAGATATAAATATCCTGGGCTGAGACCCCGGCTCGGCCACTTCCAAAGGTGGATCAATTCCCCAAAGCTACATGTTTTTATATGTGAAAGGTGGGGACAGTGGCATCTGCTTCTGGTAAAGTGAGGCTTTGGAGGGATGTTAACCAGCACCAGGCCTGGCAACCAGTTGGTGCTCAGGAAATGCTAGCTTCCCCCCTCTTCCTTCCAGCTCAAACAAGAGCAGTTTATTGAATATTTAAGACTTCCTAATAGACTTGTTCTTTCTGGCTGCTGCTGGTTCTCCTGTTTGCCTTGAGAGGTACCACCAGGGGGCGCCAGTGGTAGCAAAGCCAGCCTGGAAGAAATCAGTCAAGGCCTGGCTGACTTTTCTTTGGAGACCTGCTGACTTGGCAAAGAGAAGCTCTGACGACGTGGGGGTTTTTGGACTTTTGCCTATCAGTGGAAAATGTCTCTCTTCTGGTTACGTAAAAAATATCTGGTTTTTTTTTTTTTTTTAATCAACTTGCATGAACTTTGACTCTTTGTCAGTGTTTCCAGCTCTGAACCTGAGTTGGAACTAATTCACCAACAGGACTTGTATTAGCAAATGTCTTTACTCTTACTGTTCCCGAACTGTGAGCTGAAGCACCGTGGGGCACCACTGAGAACTCAGAAGGGCACATCAGGATATTTTTACTTTTGAGGGAAACAGTGATGGATGTCTGTGGGACACCGGGTAAACTAGCTCGAGATAGTTCACTTTCAACATTAGGTCATGCTGCATTCTTTTTGATGATATATCTTTATGAAACTAGGTTTTTGGAGGTTGCTGTGATAAAGAGTACTTCAGGGGGAAAATGTGGAGCAGGAAATAAAGGTGATTTCAAAGTTTGACAAGTTGTGCAGTGCCCAACAAGGGGTACATCCCCGTTTAATTATGGTTAAGAACAGAAGAAAAAATTTTCTCTCAACTTATGTGTAGTGTTATTCAAATGGATACTAAGTTGTGAGGATAAAGATATTATTTGACCTAATTACTTAATAAATGGAGCTGTTAGGTACTTGTTTTGGTCTGGGGTACCATGGAAAAATTACTGAGACATTAAGGGCTGTGAACCAAGAAAGTTTGAGAACCTCTGCTTTAACTTTTAAGAGATCCATAAGTCCTTTAGGGTGCCCTGGCAATGTTAAAAACATTTCCACTCACACAACCAAAGAGGGTTGGAGGGGACCCTTCAAAACACAAGGTGCTTTAGAAATCTGTGCCAGCTCAGGGAGAGCAAAGGGCAGTCCCAAGAGAGCCGGGTTGTGGAGAGAACACAGGCCACCAGCCCAGGCCAGCTGCCCGTCTGTCCCACCTTCTCTCTCTGGACTTCAGTGTCCTCATTCGGTAAGTGAGGGGCTGGACTGTGCTGAGGATGTTAATGAGAACTAATATTTAATGCCCATTTAACACAGGCCAGGCAGTGTTCCAAATACTTTCTAATCATTGGTTATTTACATCTTACAATAGCCTATGAAGTGGTATTCTCATTGTCTCCACAGAGCAGGTGCTTCGTAACAGCTGGCTTGACTTGGCCAAGGCCACACTATTCCAGATCAGTGGCAGAGTCAAAAGGAGGCTCCCATAATTCCATGCTTGAGCCAGATGTTCTCAAATGAACGGTTCTTAACTTTCTTTGGGCCACAACTCTTTTGAAAATCTGCTAAATGATATGGACCTTTCCCCATAAAAAGTGTGTGTGCTTCCATACACCACACACACACACACACACTTTAGGATAAAGTTCCAGGAATTCCTGGATCCTATGAATTCATCCACTGACTAGGATGACAACTTCTACATTGACTATTAAAAAGCACTAGAGTGACGCATACGTACCAGTAGGGAATTCTGTCCATGATCTATGATTACATTAAAAAAAACATGGTACAGAACCACCTCTACAGTACAATCTCATTTTAATGAAGAAAACAACTTCATGTTTATATGTGCATAACAAGTCTAAAAAGATTTATGTCAAAGGGAAGTTACTTCTGAGAATGGGACTAGGGAACAGGGAGGCTTTTGCTTTTTGGGTATCATTTGAATTCTTTTATAATGAGCCTGTATTTATTTGCAATTCAAAGCAAGGTCAAACAGAATCTTTTTTTTTGGGTAGAGGGGAGTGTCACTGGCCCTCATATGTGGGATTTGAACCGGGGCCCTCTGGCGTCCCAAGCCAGTTCTTAACCATCGCGCCACTCGGCCGGCCCAAACAGACTCTTAAAAAAAAACAAAAACCCTACATTAAACCCTGGACCTGCGGCCAATCAGCATCTGACCTGGGGCCAAGGATGTTCTAAGAGGACCAAGGAAGTGCTGGATCCTCCCCAGGGAGCACTGCAGGGTCGCAGACACACTCTGACCCTATGTGCAGCCTGGCCTCTGACCCTTGCCCCCTCCCCCATCCTACACATTTAGCAGGGAAACATTGCTCAGATCTTCCAGCTGAACATCCTAAAGGACCCCTCTGCCTGCCCCACCCCTCGCCTCAAGAGAAAGAGAAAAGAGGGGTTGCCTGTCCAGCCAAGAGCTGTGTGGAGCCATCCGCTCTGACGCCTTGGACGGGGGAGGCAGAGCTCTGAATGGACGTTCTGGTGGGCTCCAGCAGCAGCTCTGAACTGACGGTGGGTAGTCAGAGCACTGTGATGGGAACTTTCCTGACTGCCTTTGGGAGGTGAGAAATGGAGTATTTGTCCTCTTCTACTATATTAGGGTTGTTTACCTTGTTGCCTGGGGCTCTGAGGACCTCAGCAGGGGAACAGCTGAGAAGCCCAGTGACTAAGCTCCCCAGCACATCTCCAGGACACTTCACACCCTCTTGCTGTCCTCCCACCCGCCTCTCAGGAGGGACAGCTGAGCCTTCTCCAATGGCCTGGGGAGGGAGCTGCAGCCGAGAGGTCAGGCACGTGGCCTTGGCAACCCAGTGGAAGATGATGACCAATGCTGGCAAGAACTACGCACGTGTTTTGGTCAGTAGGGGGTAGAGGGGTGCAGCTTGCTTATTTGACACAGTATGTCTGAAGTTTGGGGTAATACCTATGGATAGTCCCCTTTCTCCTCCTATCACCCTGAGGCCCAAACTCTAGAACTTTAACATCCTGGCTCACGCACAAGCCAGGGAAGCCAGGTTTATTCACATCGCAATTTATGTCTTCACCCCTTAAAACCACAGACACCCATGACAGCAATGGAGTTAATGTCCACTCTGCACAGGGCCTGCCCCGTCTGGCTATTTGGCCCCTTTCCATTTGGGGATCAGAATGTCCTTGACAAAAGTCGCTTGAAAACAAGGTCCCTCTCTGAGTTAGTTTATTTCACCTTGCCAACGGGCCAAGGATGTGGCCCATGAAAAGGCTTCTGATTTCTGGCTTAGAGGTCCTGGACGCTAGCTTTGGGCTGGGGACAAGGTGGCTTCTAGTCAAGGTGTGCTGAGTCAGAGGGAGGGGAAAAGGTGGCAAAAGGGGTGGAGAACAGGGCTGACACCCTTGAGGTCTACGGATGTGCTGCTGGAGGGCCTGTGTGCGACTTGCAGAAGGAAGCCTCAGTCCAGGCTCAGCTGTGTGGCTTTGGGCAAGGCACACGACCCTTTCTGGTCTCCAGTTCTAACATTGGTGAAATGAGGGAGCAGGAGAGGTGATTCATGCCTCTGCCTCTAATCAAAATCCTAGGACCACGAGTCCTCCTTCCCCACCTGCCCTGAAAAGTGGTTCAAAGGTGAACTCTAGTCAGAGAGGCCTGGGTCTCTTGCTAAGTCTTATTTCCTCATAATGTCCATCTCGGGGCCGGCCGAGTGGCTCAGTTGGTTAAGAGCTCGCTCAAGAGTTTGAGCTCTGAGCAACAGCGGTTCGATTCCCAGCCCGAGCTGAGTAGCCGCTGAGCTTCCAACAGGTGGCAGGATGGCTCAGCTTAACAAAAAACAAAACAAAACAAAACAAAAAAAACCCTAAATAAATACAATAATGTCCATCTCTCAGGACCTATGATACCTGGCTGACAGGAGGCAGAGCCTGAACTCAAACCAGATGGGACTTCCCTCAGGTACGGCCTCCTCCAGAAGGCACCAGTTAGGTGGAGGTGTAGCGCTCTTGCAATTACCTTCTGGTCCAGGTGTAAGGTGTCCCCACTATGTGCTTTAGGGGTTTCAGCTGCACGTGAATTTCATGATGATCCACCCATCTTCCAGGTATACCTGCCCCTGGCATGAGGAGTGGCCCAGGCTGCATGAATACTCTCATACTCCCTCTCACTTACACGCATACCAAGTGCAGCTCCCTGGCTGGGACATGTGGTTGAGACTGACGGAGGGCAGCTAGGAGAGCCAGGCTGCATTGGCAAGTCAGACCCATGGCAGCCCTGTGACTGCCCAGCGCAACAGGCCACCTGGCTTCCCTTTTCAGCCCCTAGAGCGCTGGTACACCTTTTTTTTTTTTTTTCTTGGCTTACCTTTTTGACTGCACACTGGAAGCCAGTCTGCTTGTCCTCCATCCTGTGTACCTCTCCGAAGGAGCCTCTGCCCAGGCAGGGCTGGCGCGTGGCCCAGTGGACCTCCTCTCGGTACTCATAATCCACCGGCTTCAGTTTCTGGGGTTGGCAGGGAAGAAGAGGCCAGTTTCAGGGGCCAGGGCCGTGGAGTGACGAAGGGTTACAGTGAGCAAGGCTCTCCAGCCGGAGGTCCTTGCCAGGTTGCTGGGGCTGAGTCCTCACAACCAAAGACACCACCGGGTCGGGGGCAGAACTCTGCGGGGGAGGGAGGGCAGGGCCCAAAGAGGGGGTTATGGGAATAAGGTGAAAGCGAAAGAGAGCCTGGCTTGCTGCCGGAGGCAAGCCGGTCCTTGTGATGAAGACCCTCCCAGACTCATGGTTGTGGGGCAGAAATGGAATTTTCAACAACCTTGACAGTGAAAAAATATATCTCAGGAGCTAAAAGGTAGAAGAAAGGGAAGGCCAGTGAAGGGAGCAGGGGCCAAGGGATAATGCCAGAGATGGATGGAGTAAACCCAGAAATTTAAGTGTGTGAAAATCATTTAAAGTTACAAAATTATCTGGTAAGAGCACTAGAGGAAAAGGGGAGAGAAGGGGATTAGTGAAGATAAGCAAAATCCTCTTTCATACAGGGTGTCATGGGTTAACTTCTGAATTTGCTATTTGCTTATTCCTGTTTCTCAGCATACATATTATTAATATAATACACATACATACACACACAATCCAGCAATAATGAGGTGACCAACCACAACTAAAAAAAGAAATAGCTAAAAAGACTGAAAAGTGAGCCTGGAGGTGGAATGGAGACTACTGTTCATCTATTACAGGGGTCGGCAAACTTTGGAGACGGAAGAGCCAATCCTGTCCCTCACAACAATTAAAAAATTATTCGAGAGCCATAAAACAAATGAAATCACCATTCTGTGGATAATATCCTTGAAAAATTTTATAAATGAAACTATGATAGTTTTACTTTCATTTCCAATTTTACTTCAGAGCCACATGTACGTCCCCAAAGAGCCGCATGCGGCTCGCGAGCCAGTTTGCGGACCCCTGAGCTATTATAAACAATTTGCTATGATTTCATTTATCATCACATGTATGAGTGACTTTGATAAAGAGAGAAAACCATCCCCCCAAAGGGTGGGGACTTGAGAGCGGGTCTGGCAGGTTTCCAGTGATGCCCTTTTCCCATTGCAGGTACGCCCCTCCCAGCCCCCCCCTCTCCCCTGGGTTCCTGGCTGTTCTCAGCCCAAGACTTGGTGGTGGTGGTGGTGCTATGTGTACATGTGTCTGGGGATTACTTGCCTCAGTAAGCAGGACCCCCTCGCTGTCCTCGGTTTGGGGGCTGGGCTCCTGGGGCCTGGAGCCCCCCGTTGACCAGGTCTTGGCCAGGCTGCTCAGGCTGTGGGCCTGGCCGGAGCTCACGCTGCCTTGCAGAGCGTGTACCAGGTACTCTTCCACAGAAAACTTCTCACACGTGCCGCGCAGTGGGCAGCTGGGCCCCAGGGGTGGGCCTGGCACGGTCTTCTGACTGTCTATACAGGCCAGTTTGCCCAGGGGTGAGCCGGGCAGGGGCTGCTGGCTGTCTACACAGGCCAGTTTGCCCAGGAAGGACTCTAGGGGGTGAGGTTTCCAGGGCTGGAGAGGGTGAAACGGGAAGGGATGGGGCAGTCTGCTGTAGGGGAAGGGCTGAGCGGGCTGGGGCAGGGGGCCTACATCCTGGGGGTGGTGGAGTTTCCACACGTGGTTTAGACATTGCAAGGGGCTGATCAGTTTGTGGAGTTCCGGTCGAGGCAGTGCAGGCCGTAGGCCCTCCCCGAGTTTCTTGAAACAGAGTTGGCCAAGGCCTGGCTCCTTCAGAGGCTTGGTGAACTGGGGGGCATGTCTAACATACGGGGCACCAAGTGGGGACTCATCCTCCTGTGGGGAAAACACAGGTGTTAGGACACAGGCCAGGGCTAAGGCATAGGTGCTGTCCCGGAGGCCCTGTGAGCCTGTTCTGGGGATGGTGGCGGGTCTCACCTGAACGGGGACTGTGCAGCTCTCCTGCTCAGGGGTTCTGGGGAGGGGTCTGGCCAGCGCCACTCCCACCTGAGCCAGGGACTTGGAGCTCTTCTTCTTGCGTTTCTTCCGGGCTTTGCTACGATGCTTCCCTTTCCAACACACACGGGCCATTTTGCCCTCTGTTGCGTGGGCCACATTGTTAGGGATTTGATCAAGGCTCTCAGACTGGCTGTCAAAAAGGAGACAGATACGCATTTTGAGCGTGAGGAAGAAGGGAGATGTAACTGCTTAGGCAACTGCGGTTAGAGTCATAGACAAATCCCAGCACTTTAGTTGGTACTTGTGTGAACATGGGAACATTTCTAAATCCCCAAGAACCTCAGTTTTCTCACTTATAAAATGGGCCTCTGGACACACACTTCTCTCCCTGCTCTCCAAGGTAGGCTGTCCTTGGACGTCCCAGGAGGGTGTGTGTGACTTGGAGGGCCACGCCCCATGATGGGCATTCTCAGCCTCTAATTGACAAGAGCTTGATTCTGTCGCCTCCAGAAGGAGGGACAGTCGAAGTTGGTTACCTCTGATACCCGGTGGCCATAGAAATGCGAGGAGCCGCAGAAACACAGGCACTCTGCCCCAGGACTAGGGGAACCTGGCTTTCTCTGACTGTCCGAGGCTCACCACCACCATGGATCTCACTGGACTCTTATCCCCTCCAGGTATTAAGGCACTGGCGACAGTTTCTGAAAGGGCCACTGCCAAACAGCTGTGGAGCAGACCACAGCCTCCGTCACCTTCCCATGGTCTCATCTTCTGCCCCCCACAAAGGAGGAAGACTCACCCTAGTCCTGGGCGGCTGCTAGAGGCCTACATGCTTTCTCAAGCAGCTGTAAGAAGTGGGCCCATTGTAAGGAATTTGACCAAACACTAAGCATTTCCTGGTTCAAGGGTAGCAGCCCTCCTCACAACCTTTTTATTACTAGCAGTTTCCAAATTCCAATGATAAAAAAGTCTGCCTGGTGGTAGAGGAGGAAATTGTTTCCAGGTTCAACTTTCAGTTGCCAAAAGTCATCTTTGGGGATTGGGCGCCTGGGAACAGACTGAGCCCCTATCGGCTTTCCTTTCTACAGGACCATGGAGCTGCGAGTCTCTCTGTCCCACCTGCTTCCTCCTGGGGTGTGTCTCACAGGAGAAAAGACACAGCAGTTTTCTCCCACAGTTAGAGCGGCCCTCTAGGCCTGCACTTATGGTCACGCACCAGTAAAAAAGTGACTCCTGTTCCCAGCACCCTCCCTATTGATGGGAAACGAGGGGGAGCAGCAAGGACTCTAAGGAGAATAAAAATAAAATGTCAAACTGATGTGACCCAGAGGCAGTTATCCACACGCCGTGAAAAGCTTTTGAAAAGCTTATTTGGCTGAGAGAGCAGCTCAGCCAGGAAAGCCTGGGCGGGTTCCAAAAGCTGCACCACAGGTGCTGAAGGAGGGAGCCAGGGGTCACTTGGGAGCGGCCTGGGTGAGCAGCTGGGGGAGGGAGGACGCTGGCTTCAGTTCCCTGTGTCCCACTCAAGCTGGCCTCCTTACCTGTACTGTTTCGACCCAGCGATGAAAATCCGTTCTGAAAAGGTGGGGCTGAACTCTTGGCTATTCTCACCTTTTAAGTAAAGAAAAGGGGGTTGGGCAAGCAGAAAGGAGAGGAAAAGGAACAGGAATTCAGCACTTAGGAGGGCGGCATTTTATAGACGCCCTCTTGGGCTGCCCTGCTCCTCCTCCCAGACCACCTCTGTCCGGCGGCTCGCCTCCCTACCCGTGCCAGCGCTTCTCACTGACTGTTTCATCCCCGCTCCCAGCTTAAGGTTCAAGAGGCGAGAACATGCTTATAACATGAGGTCACAGGGTGCCCACCTCACCCCACTAACTGTGAAGCTCAACTGAGATGATCTACACAAAACCCTCAATACAGTGCCTGGCACATATAACAGCTCAATAAATATAAGCTATTATATATTTACATATGCATGTGTGTAATATTAAGTTATACCACTCATTCCACTTCAATTTTGATTCATTTGCCTCAAAAACCAGCCAGAAGCGTTTGTGTGCGTGTGGGAAAATGCCAACACGAGCTGTCCGTGTCGCCAGGTTCTGCCCTAAGAAACCTCCTGGGTTGAAGGGTGGGTGGGGGACAGAGGAGCCTGCTGGCCCTTCCCAGCTTTCCTGGGAGCTCCTCAGGCTCTGGCGGCAGCAAGCGTTTAAAGTCATTTTGAGGTATTGTGAGGACCAGAAGGGACCAGGCCAGGCTTCACGCTGCAGCAGCCTGCGGGCCCAAGAGCAGGTGTTCATTCTTTGGGGTGGGGCCACCTTGAGGTGGAAGGGAATCAAGCCCCAGAGGGGCTTTCCAGGAGACCTGGCCTTTCCTGTCTGGGGCCTCTCCAAAGATGCGCAGGCTGCCCAGGTCACAGCAGAAGGCTAAGGGCCTGCTTGACGATCCTGCGGAGTCCGCAGGGCCTGAGAAGCCCATGCATTCCTGCCTCCCAGCTCTGGTTACAATGGGTAAAAGCTTCCATCTGCCATTTCTCCCCAGTGTTTCACCCCCCAGCACCGTTATAGCTCCCACTTGACACTCATTCTTGGCTTAATTCCCCCAGTTGTGTCTTGTGAGAATCTCCTAGAGTGGCACCCTGACCTCCCTCTTCCATAGGGGGACCCCGAACCTCACCTGTGCCAGCCACCCTTGCACAAGGACTGCACCCGCCTGCAGGCCCGCCCATCTGTCCTCTCTGCCAAGACCCCTCAACCCGGGCCCCTTACATTCGGCCTGGGCAATGATGGAGATGGCGGCCAGCCCTCCCTCGGAGCCTTCCTTGGCTGTGCCTTTGGTAATCACGTCGTTCAGGATCTCCCACTTCCCACAGAACACTGGGCTCTTCTCCACGGCCTCAAGCTTGTTGATGGAGCTTTGCTTCTTCACCATTGCCTGTGTCTTCTCTTTGGCTTTGGCGAGCTCTTTCTGCTGCCCGACTGCTGAGCCAGGGGCGCCTGGGCAGGCCATTTCCATCACTGCCATCTCCCAGGCTCACGCTCACCCTGAGGGAGAGACCAGACACGGAGCAGGTCACCGGCAGGCCCCAAGGGGCCCCGGTCAGGCTAGGGCTGGAGGGGAAGAGCAGGGGGAAAGGGGGGCTCTGCCTCTTTATGTCACACGTATTTATCCTCCAAACATCCCAAATGGCAAAGAAGTCAACCTTGCAGCCTCTACACCAGTTCCATGTGCTGGGAACCCCGAGCCTTGCCAGCATACCGCCATAAACGGACTCCTGCACTCCGCTCAACAAGGAGGCTTCCAGCCCCCTTCTTCCACGTAGCCATAGCACAAACATGTGGGTTCTGTCTTGCCTTCATAAATAATGGCTGACTCTTTTTCTGTTGTTTGTTTTATGGCAAACTTCGTTTCCCCAGAGCAGGATGGTGAATCCTATATTCCCCAAACATTAGTCACCTCATTGGCTGTTCAAGCCTTGTGTTCTACATGCCTACACCGTCCGCAGTAGCTTTTCTCCAAGTGGAGAGAAGCAAGGTTTTGTTCCCTAGCAGGAGATATATGTATCTATATATACATACCTAACGAAGTCTAAACATCAGCATGCAAACGGCAGCACCAGCACTTGGCTCCCATCCCAAGATGCATCTGTTGGTGGCTCTCCAGAAGGAACTGACATGCTCCTTCTGTAATGTCCAAACCCATTTGCTGAAAACCTCTCCTAAGTACCATTTTCTTTCATGCAACACTGGTAGTAGAATTTATATGAGAGCCTCCCACGCCAACCTACACCTCTAGAAATATGAGGACAAAGCACAAGAATCCACCTCTCCCTGGGTTCCATTGCCAGCAGCCTTGCGCATTACCAGGAAGCGGCAGGGAGGGCAAGCCCAGTGTGGCAACCATCTGTGCAAACGGTATGTACGCTAGAATTGAAGTAGAACTGCACCAACTTGAGATGTCGACCATTTGGGAAACTTTTTAAAGACTGGGACTGTGAAAGCCTGAGAAGGCACCAAAGGCAGACGGGTCTTTACTAAGTGCCCTCTGACAGCATCTTTGATCAACATGACAGCATGTTGATCTTAAAGCTGTTACTATTATAACAGATGTGGTCTTCCCTGCTGTAACTCCACTCATCCCGGGTCATGGCCTCCGTTTGCTGTTGGGGCAGAAAGGCAGACCCTGTGAAGCCAAACCTCTACCGCCTCTGGCCTTTTGCCTTATCAGGCTGGAAGCTTCCAGGAGACAGGGAAGCTGGGAAACACTAGGCTGAAACCTTCTTCCTACTGAATCTGCCTCATCACAATGGCTGCGAAAGACTGAGCCAGCTGACTAGGGTGAGGTGTGGGGGCGGTGTGCTGACCACTAATTTGCTCCTTACAGTCTGCCTTCAAGGGCCTCCTAGCTTTGAGCTCAGAGAGGCTCCAGCTTTCAGCATGGATGCCTGAAGGCTGCACACCGAGGAAGCTGAATGGGTGGCCTCACTGTTACTTGATGACCTTAAGAAGTCTAAGAGGTGTTCTGACTTCAATTCGGTGAAAGTCTTCCAAGGTGGGTTTTTTTTCTAGTAACCATACTTTCTTTCCATCTCACACCTCCTCAACCCCTGCCACCTCCAAAAAGGAATTGATCTTGGGCCTACAGTAGTAGCTCCTACCTTTCTCTGCCTTTTTACCAGGGGGACTGAGATCTTAAAAACAAACCAAAATCTCTGAACATAACAGTCTTAGAGGTGTGCTTACAGGGACCTCCATATTACTTTAACCTCCTCATTTGCACTTGAAGAAACAGAAACCTACTTTGGCAGTGACTTGCCCAAGGTCACTTAGACTGCATGTGGCAGTGCAGGGCCAGGACCCCAGACACGGGACTGCACTGCCCACTCCCCAAGTCTCCTGGGTTACAAGCGGAAACTCATGGTCCTCTCTGGTCAGAACGCTCCTGAGGGCAGAGGTGGTGCCCTCAGTGGATAGCAGAGCAGGGCACAGATGAGATAATTGATGTTGGCTGAATGAGGGAATCAAGGGATGACCTTCGGAGACAAGATGATCCTGAGCACAGGGGATGATGAGACAGTTCCATCTGACAAGTGAGAGAAACGAGGCCAAGTGGTCAGAAGTTGTGCTGAAGGCACCCAGCTGTTGGAGATCTAGCTGTGCTGGGGCTCACATTGCTTGTCTCCGCCTGACATGGCTCATCTTGAGCTAGAGCTCCACGAGAGAGGCTGCAGGGCACCCTGTCATCCCCAGGAGCCATCCTTTCACCTTGGTGGTTAGGTGGGCCGCTGGCCAGGGGCCCTGATTCTCTCTTCATGAGCATGCCAGGCTCCCCCTCCCTGGAGAAGCCGAGGAGGCAGCCGAGCTGAGGGCCTCTGCAGTTCCGTGGTGACTCATCCAACAGCCTGGCAGGCAGAGAGAGGAACAAGGAGGCTGCTGAGAAGCTAACCCAGCAGCTGGCAGCTGAACCTGTGAAGGGCACGGGGAAAACAGGCTGACCCTCACCTCCCAGTGGCATGAAATCACGGCCTGGGAACTGTGCAGCTTCTCCTATGGCTGGCTTTCCTGTGCCACATGACCATGACTCAGGCCTCCAAGTTCAAGAGGCTATTCTCAGGACACTGGCCCAACAGCAGCGCGCAAGCTTGCTTTCTCTCTCTCTCTCTCTCTCTCTCTCTCTCTCTCCTTCCCTCCTTCTCCACTTCTATACAGGTTCTGGTCCAAAAAAATGGGGCTCTGCATTAAGCCTGGGACTGTTGGCCAGGTGGCCTCCCCAGCCCTGGGTTTTGGTCCCTGGCTCACTGCCCTAGCTCACAACCTGGCAGCTCTGCCCCTTCTCTCTCCTGCAGTTTGTGGGGAATGAGGACTAAGTGGGAGCCAGTTATGTCTCTGCCTTTGAAGGCAAGTCAAAATCCTGCTCCATTACTCAGCTTGGACTCTCTCCCCAGCTCCACTCAGGCCTCAAATGCATTCAGTCTTCTGCTCTCTGTCAGGGCTGAGGACGTGAGCAGGAGCAATTGCCAAACCCTCTCAGCTCACCCCCAAGGCCATGAAAACAAAAGCAAAAGGGAAAAGGGTGGACTTCATTCAGTCTTCTTTTAGGGCCTGATGCCTGTACACTGCCTGTTCTCTCTTCTGTGCTACCTCGATGAGCCCCTGGGCAAGTCTGGGAGTAGGAATGACTGGGCTGGTACCAGACCAGCTCTTGGGCAGGTCTGGATAACATGCTTGCTGTAGAGAAGGCTCCTGGGCCCCGAGACTCAAACTTGGCTCCCTCGCCACGTAGTAAAGATCTCCTGTCCAAGGCGAGGAGGGGTTCTTAATGTGGGTTCAAGGGTGGCTTCAGGATGGTCTATGAGCCCCAGAAACTAGATGCAGTTTGAATCTTTCCAGGGAAGAGGTCCATCGCTTCCATCACATTCTCCAAGGGTCTGACATTCCCCAGGAGTTTGCTGTAGTCCCCCAGATCAAGTCCAGGGCTAAAAGCCTGATTCTGACTCCACTCTCCCACCCCAAGGAAGAGCTTGCTAATGCAGAGCTTTCTAACCTGACTGCAAGTTAGAAATAACTAGATGAGTTCTTAAAATGCACTCACGCTAGACCCATGGGATCAGTCACTGGGCATTAGATCCAGAATCTGAACTTTTGACAAGCTTCCTGTACAATTCTGATGCCAAGGGGCCAGGGACTGCCAGTGGACCCCCTCTCTTGCTCCCTCTCTATACTGGAAGGCTGTGTGGCCAATATGGTAGCCTCTAGCCACATGTAGCTATTTACATTTAAATTAATTAAAATTAAATAAAATTTAACAATCGGTTCCTCAGTTACAGTAGCTACTATGTTGGACAGTGCAGCTAGAAAACATTTCCATCACTGCAGAAACTGGACAATTCTGGTCTAAGGCTATGACAGCAATGCTTTTTCAACAGCAAAATTTCTGTTCCTAGGATTCTGGGACAGGAATGGGGTTTAGGTTAAATGGATTTTTTTTATTCACTGAAGGGTACAAAAATAATGGTTTAAAGTTTGATCTAATGTGATGCTAATTTTTCTAAAATGTATCATGTTTCACTTCCCTATTTTAGAAAGTACAGTAAAAACAACAGAGTAGGAACCAGGAGATATGGGTTTTAGCCTTGGCAACTTTTATTTAAAAAAAGCAATGGGACCATTTTTGTCAAATGAAATCACACCTCAACTCCCAATATATGAAAGAGCCAGAAACATGCAACTGATACGTAGCTCACATTAGGGACAGCTGCTCTGCTAAGGAGTTGGAAGGGCAAAAACCGCAACTTCCCTCCATCCACCAAGGACCTCTGCGGAATCCTAAGTCGCCAAGGAAAAGAGTTGGCAAACCAGTGGCCTAGGAAGTCTTTTGAGGTTCCTTTTAGTTCCCAAAATGCCACCAATTTATCAGGATTATTTGAGGATCGGATGACTCCAATTCAGAACAGGGATTGTCAATATTTACTGGGCACCTACTGTTATTAATCTCATTTGCAGATGTGAAGACTGAGGCTGAGAGAAGCTCAGAAGCCTGCCAAAAGTCACACAGTTACAAGTTGCAGAGGTGGGGCTGACCCCACGCTGCTGCCTCCCCAGCCTGCATGCTAATCCTTGGGCAGGCCGCTGAGTTTCTTCTCTTAGCATCTTTGGAGTCATTTTGAGGACTGAATGAGGTAGAGTACATGAAATACCAATCGGTGTGCCCGGCCAATAGAAGGTGCTAAATGAAAGTTCACTTCCTTACCCTTCACCAGGCCCATAAATGCTATCACGGAGACAATGGGACTTCTGTGTTTCAGCACCATATAGTCAAGGTGTCGAGCCTTATCTAAGCCATTCAACACACTGAGCCTTGGTTCCCTGTATATAAAGGAAATAAAAAATCTCCATCTTACAGGGTCATGTTGAAAATGTCCACTGAGGGGCCAGGGCAGACCAGGGCAAATCCCTCTCATGACTGTTTTTTCTGGAAGTAAAAATCTGTCCTTCTCTGAATGCCCAGAGGGGACAAATAGCAGAAGTAGAATGACTCAACTTCC